AGGGTTGAGTCCATAACCCAAAGAAAATAAATTCATTATTAGCATTTTAGTACATTTAAATTTACAAGTAACAACAAACATGTATTGTCTAATGCCTCTTCCTAACACTACCCAATGACTTTCTATTTAGAGCCTCCCGCTAAATCTGAAAACCTACTCACTTTCTTCTCTATCACACAACCCGTGATAGGATGTTACAACCATTAAACCCTAGTGGCCAACTTCGATCAACGAGATGAATGACGTTGTGTTTTACAACTCAACTATACAAACCTTTTAACCCAAGTTACTGAAACATAGAGGTGTTCATATAGATTCTACACATATTAGGGAATTAGTGTGAATACAAGACACAAAACCTAGCACTATAAGATCTTCAATGTGAATGCTTCAATGATTGAATTCTAAAGCAGGTTGTGTGCTCCTTATATAGCATAGTTCTTTTAGGTTTTTCTACATGGATTTGATATTTGATTTCATCCCGAAATAATGCATATTATGTTGGATATTTTATTTGTTCCTTGAATATCTCCAATAAAAAGATATGATTCGGTTTGTTACATATTAAAACTTAAATCTCTTTAAATGTGATTTGATCTTTACAGTTGTCCAACAAATTATATAAACATATTGTAAACTTAATAACAATAAAATCTTTAACAAATCTTCTGCATATCATCTTCCAAAATGAAACAATATGGCGCTTGTTGAACAAGGCCGGAATGTCGTACCACATGCTGAGACATCGTATCCAGGATGTGTCCCTTCTGCAGGTCCATACAACTTACGCAAGCTAGATCAACTTGAACACTTTGAAAATTATTCTACGTTGTTGTTTTACAAAGTGCAACCAATCCAAAGGACCATTTCACAAAGAACTTTAGGCTTTTTCATCATACTCATAAGCCATAGTAATGATGGCTCATACTCATGACTATTATTTACCTGGGGAACTTGAAAAGCAAGAATGATTTGGTGACTCATATGCTTCTCACCGTCTTAATCCCTATGTTCATTTATTGCATGCTAAGCAACATTATGCATGTCTCAATAGTGTCTGGGTTGAGAATGGTCAATCAATAGAAATTTAATGCATAGGTTCTTCTTGTGCCATTCCTAAAATTATGCATCAATCTTCTTTACTCTTGAGTGACATACTTCATGTTCCTTGTGTTACACGTAATTTACTTCCAATTTCAAAGTTTTCTAAAAACAATGATATGGTGTTTGAATTTATTTCTAACCAATGCTATGTGAAATCTAAGGATTCTAAGCATATTCTTCTCGAAGGCTTTCTTGATTCAAGTGGTCTTTATTGCTTTCCAAATCTGGTTGTGGAGCCTACTAAGTTTGGCTCTCCAAATAAAAAGAGCTCTTTTCTTTTACCTAAGCATGTTAGTTCTATTTCATGTTCAGTAGTTTATGATTTGAATACATATAGTTCTAGCTCTTTGTGGCATTCTAAACTAAGACATGCACATTTTCCAGCCACTAGGATTTCTTTAAAGCATTGTATCATGAATGTATCAAATAAAAGTTTTAATATGTTTTAAAAATCATGTTGTCTTTGCAAATTACATAGGATTCATGCACTATTATCCTCTATTACCTATAGTTATCCATTTGAAGTGGTACACACTGACCTTTGGGGACGTGGACCTCATCCTTCAAGTTCAAGTTTCTTATATTATATAGCATTTGTTGATGCTTTAACGAAATATGCAGGGATATATTTCTTGCACAAAAATTCAGAAGCATTTCAAGTCTTCAAGTTATTTCTCAACTTTGTAAAGACTCAATTTTACACTACCATTAAAGCATTACGATCAGATAGTGGGGGATAATTCAGACCATTCACCAAGTTCCTTACTGAATTGGGCATATTTCACAGGTTAACTTGTCCACATACTTCATACCAAAATGGTACAGTTTAGAGAAAGCATCAAACTATTATGGAAATGAAGCTTACTCTTCTAGCACACTCCTCAATCCCTCTCAAATTTTGGGATCATAGCTTTCCCATATCATGCATTGTACAACAAGCTACCAATATATCAATCTCTTAAAGTCTTTGGTTGTGTCAATTATCAATTCACAAGGCCATAAATATACAGAAGATTGAGTTCAAGAACCAAGAATGCATCTACTTTGGAATCTCATCTCAGCACAAAGGGTACAAATGTTTAAACAAAAATGGAAAAAGTTTCATCTCCGAGGATGTTATTTTCCATGAACATAAGTTTCCTTATCCCACCATGTTTCCATAGGATTTAAACCACTTATGCCATGTACATGCTCTATCTTAGTCTATTAACTTTCCTTATATTCCTATTCATCTTGTTCCCTATGAGTCCACTTCAAACTCGGTTAGCTCTATTATCCATCCATTTGTACCTCATAGTTTATATGCTTCTTCATCACATTTGGACAAGTCATGTCCTCAACACGACAACACTTCTTCTTCACCTATCAATGCACATGTCTAATCTCAAAATCTCCATAACAATCCTAAACCCTAGGTACAGTCTTGTCAACCTAATGTTGCAGCCATCCCTGGCATCCTTGTAACACATGGTCCTCTCATTAATTCATGTGTACCTCAGTGATCCAATACTCAAGACACCTATATTATTATTGAGTCTGCAGGTTCCTTATCTCCCTTAATACAAAACTCCATTAATCCTGAAGTCCTTCATCTAAATAATCACCATATGCTCAAAAAGGCCAAAATAGTTCATTTTAAGCCTAAATCATTACTTGCCCATGTGGAACCTCAATCATTCAAGCATGCACTCTCATGTCCTAAATTGTTTACAAAAATGAAATTTGAATATCAAGCTCTTCTGGCTAATAAATTTGGACTCTTGCCACTTTCTCACCTCATAGAAAACATGTTAGGTGCAAGTGGGTTTCCAAAGTGAAAGAGAATCATGATGTCTCAGTGAACAACTATAAATCCATACTTATAGCCAAAGGCTACCACCAATAATTTGGTTTTGATTTAAATGAGACATTCTCCCTAGTGATTAAACCTACCACAATCAGAATTATTCTCACACTTTCCTTGACATACAACTGGGAGCTACAACAAATTGATATTAGTATAGCATTCCTTAATGGCTCTCTTCTAGAAGAAGTCTTCATGACTTAGCCACCTGGTTCTGAACAACATGATTCAACTCTAGTATGCAAGTCAATAAAGCCATGTATGACCTCAAACAGGCCCTTTGATCCTAGTATGAAAATTTGTCCCAAGATCTCCTTTGATTTATCTTTTTACATAGCAAATGTGATCACTCTATATTCATTTATTCTCATCAAAGTATTACTACTTATGTCTTACTCTATGATGATGGCATCTTTCTCACAGACCCCTCCTCAAGTTTAATTTAAAAAATGATTGAATGTCTTCATGCATTGCACACATCAACGGATTTGTAAGCATCAATTTCAACTACACGAAAGGAGTAAGCGTAACTTCAATGGTGTAAACATCAAAATTAATAAGCATGCATTGCACACATCATCAATGAATTTCCTGCATCAATTTCAACTACACGAAAGAAGTAAGTGTAACTTCCACACACGCTCACCTCACCCATTTCAGATTTTCCCCAGGCTTTGATGTAACCCTACCAAGCATTTGACCAAGCAAACCATTAAGATTTGGATTTTCTTTTACTGTAATTCAATGTGTTTATTATATGGTTAATGATTATATAAGGATTCCATTGCAATGAGTTCAGAAATTTGGGAAAGTTTCGGAAATTTCACTAATGGGTTTTAAAACACATTTGAATTTTTGGGATTTGGAGAAGATGAAGAAGAAAAATTAAAATTCATAAAAAAAATTTGTGACCGATTTTTTATTGCTAAATCGATCACAAATTTGATCTAAATCACGTGATCGTCCACGTCAGCACCACATAGTCCTACTCATTGACTTTGACTAGCAGAACAAACGAAAAAGACTAAGGTAATCTAGTTTTTTAAATTGAGGGAGCAAAATGGTCTTTTTATAAATTAAAAGATCATACTATACTTCAAATATAAAATAAGGGCAAAAAAAAAATATTTACTAAGAAAATAGTAAGATTTATTTAAACAACAAAAGCCAACTCATCATATGTGAATGTTCTAAGAAAATATTTACTAAATTTTCTTTATCTTTATCACTATTGTAAGTATTTTAATTTAGTATATGTTTGGTTTGAGTTTTGGAAGAGTCAAAAGCAATATTAAATGAGTGGAATTGATGATTTTGGAATGACACCGAGGTGTTTAGTTTTTCTAAAGTATTGGTTCTGCATTTGAAATTGATCATATTGAAATTACATTGTAGCTTTTGAGTTTTAATATAATTTTTATACTAAAATTTGTTATTTAATTTATTTTTACATAAATATATTTAATTATAAATTATTTTACATCCAAATCACTTTTAGTTAAAATAAATTTTATAAAATTAATTAACTCAAAATTAATTATCATCGTGCAGAACTAAAAATACAGTTAGTAATTTATTTGTGATGGCATTATATATAAATTTAGAGTTTAAATCCAAATCGCCACAAAAAATTAATAATATTTGAGCATATTAAGCTCTTTAATAAATTTATCTTATATTTTATTCAAAATTTAAAAATTTAATTGTATTTAACTTGCTTTCTTATTCACTTTAAAATTACTTTCTTTTTTTTAAATAATATTGATGGAAGGAAATAACTATCCATTCTAAAGATTAACTTTCTAAAAATCATAAAAATTATTAACAATTTTATTATTTCTTGTGTTTTAAAATAACTATTATTTTAATAAATAAATTTTATTTTAAAATAATTTTCATTTTTACTTTTTAATATAATAATAATAATAATTTTTTCAATTATACTCTTTATTTTTTATATTATTTTTAATATATTAATAGAGTTAATTTTATAAAAGTGTAATATATTATAACAAAATCATTATATTTTTTAATTGGTGTATAAAAATTTAGACGGCAATTTAAAACCGAGAAAAAATATGCTATTAACTTCCTAAACCTGTGTATAACAAAAATTTTATTGTCTGATAGAGTCTTTAACCAGAAACAGGAATATGAAAAGAAACACAAGAGAATAAGAGAAGAGAAGCTTAATTGCTTTGATTCACATTTAACAAACATCTCTCACAGGGTACATAACCTCGGTAAGGAAGAAACCTTTTTACAATTTTCAACCCATGAAATAATCACAGGTAAAAAGTCAGTGTTACATAATACATATAATAACAACATCAGCACCACCAAAAATAAAAATAGGTTGTTCAAACATCAATCCCAAAAAATAAACAAAGAATGAGAACCCACCCAAATGACCATGAAAAAATGGAGATTAAAAAAAGAGAATTTCTTCATCTTTGTCGATCTATCTCATAGATCTATCAACCTTCTCCAAATAATCATAACCATAATATATCAAACATCTTGATCTTCTTCATCTTATCATGGATGTTAGAGACTGAAAAACAACTTCTTGACAAGGAATAGTAAGACCCATATCATGATCAAATCCGAATTCTTCTTCAGCTTGACGAAGAAGAGATTGAAACTCGGGGTGAGTTAAGAAAGAGATTGGAACAATATATCTACTCCGGTTTTCACCAACGTAAACAGGGAAATGACCTTTTGGTACATCAATGGGGTATTCATTATCTTCATACTCGTTTTTCTTGCCTAAGCTTGAACATCTTTTGAGGATTTGTTTCAAAACTGCATGTTGAGGAAGTTTGTTGGAGTATTTCTTAATAGCCATTGTTTAGAGAGAGAAAGAAGAAGTAGTTGTGTTTTTGTGATGAAGTGTTGCGGTGGAGAATGTGAAGGGTGGTGATGAAGTAGTATTTGGGGGGGGTGTATTTATGGAGGTTTTTGGAGAGAGTGGCATGTGGAGTGTGGGGACAAGTAAGGAAAGAAAGGACAGACCACGGGTGTATTGGGGTTTGTGCAATGTAACGTACGAAGGACAAGGTGGGACACAGTCCTATTGGTTATACTGTTCTGTGTTTCTCTTCCTCATGCCAACATGGACCTACCTTTTTTTTTTCTCACCAAGTTTTCTTTCTTTGATTTTTTTTTTCTTTAAAAGGGTAATTATTTTTGGGCTCTTAGTTAGGCTTAAAGGACATAAGAAACAATCAACCTTTTTAAAATCTTTTATTGTTTTATTTTGACTAAAATTTTGGATAATATTAGTATATCCATTTTGATTTGGGTTTATCATTTTATTATTTTGAGGTTTCTCCACTGCTGAGACTCAGAATAATTTTTTTTTAATGTGTCACATAAGGTTTTTAAAATTATTTTAAATAAAATAATTAAAAATAATTTAAGAACACTTGAATGAGAAGGAGAAAGTCTTCTCTAATTTATTCAGAGATTTTAAATTTGATTAATGTTTTGTGGATTTTTTTATTGAGTTCAAAAATTCATGCATAGTAATTTTGTGTGTTTTAAGTTAATAAATATAATTTTTAAATGGCTTAATTTTATTATTAAAAAATAAATAACGTGCATTTTATTGTTTTTTTTTTTACTTATTATTATTATTTTTGTACAATCTTTACTATATGTATATGAAATTTATTACAGAATAATTGATCATTCGTTATCCTTACTTTGTTGACTTAGATGGCCAACTTTTAAAATCTCATGCAAAGGGCCAAGTCACTATACAATTTGTGTAAGTTCAAAAATACTACTAATGCATATTGTAAATTTGTCAAATCAATTACGTATTAAATTATTAATCGTCACGAGTTGTTACTATGAGTATAATTTTTCAGAGGGAGACCTCATTCATTCTGAAAAGAAAGAACCCTTGGATTACTTCTTAGGTTAGATTTTTTTTAAATATTTTTATATATGGAGCTCATAGAAAATATAATTCATTATATTCACTTTTTGATGATAGCAAATCCATTTCCCTACTTGCTTAATGTTTCCGTACAATTTTAAAGTTCTCATCCATGTTATTAAGCTTATAAAGTTAAAACCACTCACACAAAAATGTGGCCTATATAGTATAGGCTCTTGTAGTCTAATCCAATAGGTAGGGACAATTAACAAATTTATAGTTATTGTATGAAAAGAGAGTTTGTTAAAGGTATAAATGTACACGAATTAGAGAGGATATAATTGAAATGACGATAAGTTAATTACGATCAACTATAAGTAGCTAACAACTACTAATGCTTTAGACAAAGTCAATAAAAAGACTTGTCAACTACTCCTAACACTCTCCTTTAAGTTGGAGTGTAAATTACTCGAAACCCAAATTTAGAAAGTATCATTTTGAAAAGATGAGGGTTTAGAGCCTTGGTGAGCAAGTGATAAACTTTTTAATGAGTTGTTTCTTAATTGAATGAGTTATTCTATATATACAAGTAAATAAAGATGGTGAGTTATTCTATATATACAACTAAATAAAGATGGTAAGTTTTCAAGATCTTTCCAAAAAAAAATTGAGATCCGTGTAGAAGGTAATTAACGATTAAATCTTGACGCACTTCCAACAAAATCATACATGCATAAACCGTCATCTTATGAGAAATATTTATTGATTTTTAGAAGCATTTTACATTGTAAAACTATCACCCACATCTTTAGAGAGAATGAGATCTTTTCTCTCTCTAGGAAACTTATTGTGTTTTTCTACCCCTTTTCTCCTTAGGATTTCGTGGTAGTGTTTCTTTACCAGATCCTTCTAGCTAATCTCCAAATTTGTGTGGATGTCTTTGGGTGTGTGGAGCTATTCGATCATTCCAAGTTATTTTGTTATAGTGTTTGGAGGTGGAAGTTTGGAGGCGAATGATACCATGGAAAGATGGAAGAACATATTATTCTCCAAGGAGGAAGAAGAAGGTGTGATAAAGGCAACGGAGAAAGTTTGCAAAGAAGAAACTTTCCAAAGAACCCTAGAAGGGAAGCTTTGGACAGAAAGTAGCTTCAATTCAAGAGCTTTCAAGGGTATAATGATTAGTAAATGGAAACTGAAGAACCTAGTGGACATACAAGATCTTAGCAAAAATCTCTTCCTATTCAAGTTTTCGATAAAAAGGGATATGGAGTTTGTGCTTAGAAGCGGATCTTAGAGCTTTAATCAATCGTTGTTGGTTCTCGAGAGGGTCTCAGGGGAGGAACAGCCTTTAGATCTCAACATGCATTTTGAAACTTTTTAGGTGAGGATTGAGCTACCGTTGATGCTCATATTTGAGACTATGGCTAGGAAATCAGAAACATTCTAAGTACCTTCAAAGAGATGGATCATAAGGATGCACATCAGAACGACCACTTCTTAAGGATAAATGTCACCTTAGATTTGAAGAATCCCCTGCAAAGAGGAATGGTGGTGAAGTTCAAGGAGAAGAACCTCCGTATTCACTTCAAGTTTGAGAGATTACCCACCTTCTATTTTGTATGGGGAAGGATAGGTCACCAGATGAAAGATCGTGAGGCTCTAGAAGATCTCAATGAAGAAGGTTTTGAAGAACATGAGGAACAAGAACTATCATATGGTCAATGGCTGAGAGCATCACCCTTACCCAAGATAGTAGAGGAACAAAAAAGGAGAGTCGAGTTCTGGAATTTGCAGTAAGAATCTTTTCAATATCTCTTCAGGCCAAAGTAAATGCAAAACAAAAGGAAATAGAAAGCAGAAAAACTAGAGGTCCAACAAGCTAAAAAGGGGAAGGATCGAAAAAGATCATCCATGGACGAACACAAGAGAACAATGGGGAGAAGCTGGATATTGAGATGATAGATAGATCACTGGGAGTAGTAGGAATATTAGCATAGAAACAAGGAGACATCAACTAGCCGAAAGCACATGTTCAGAAAAGGAAGTGGGCGAGGAGAAAAGGAACCCGGAAGAAGGCAATAACACCAATGAAGGTAAAAGGGGTAGAGAGCTCCAAGAGACAACTTATTAATGTGTTGATTACTGAATGATCTACAAAAGATTATAGATGTGGGGATAAAAAGAGGAAATAAGGTGGTGCGAAGAAAATGATTCAAAGCAAACTACCAGAAGTGGTGTTGGAAGTCCAACACCGCCTACAACAATGAAAATCATTAGCTGGAAATGTAGGAGTTTGGGGAATGCACATGCACTTCGAGCCTTGTTGAGGCTCTATCATGTGAAAAATCCATCTCTGATCTTTCTGATGGAAACTAGTCTTAAAGAAAATGAGTTGTTAACTATCAAATATAAGTGTTGCATGGAATCAGAGTTTTACAGTGGGCTATAGAGGAAAAAAAGGAAAGATAATGCAGGGGGAATCACCATGTTGTGGAAGGAATCTCTCAAGATATTAGTTACTTCTTATTTTACAAAGCACATCAATGTTATATTCGATGGAGATGTAGAGGAATAGCCCTGGTATCTTACTAGTGTCTATGAATATGTTAAGGAACATAACAAGAGGAAGACATGGCAATTGATTCAAAGTCTCAAGCATGGAAGTGGAGACAAATGGATTTACCTAGGGGACTTTAACATCATCCTAGTTGACAAGGAGAAAAAAAGGAGGAAACAGTAGGACGATAGGGTAATATAATTAGGGAAGAAAAGCAGTCAAAAGTTATGGTCTACAAAACATGGGTTTCAAAGGATACCCCTTCACGTGGATGAATGAGAGACATGAGGCTACCAATATCCAATGTTGTCTTGATATAATCCTTGAAAATTTTGCAAGTATCTCCATATTTCAACCAATAAGGGTAAGTCACCTGTCACATTTTGGTTTTGATCATGCTACAATTATAATGGTGCTTAAAAGTCAATCGAATGAGGAGGACAAAATTAGGAGGTACATCTTTAGATTCAAATACACTTGGGCTAGAAAAGATTGATGAGAAGGAATTGTGAAACATAATTGGGTTTCTAACGGCTTGTCTAGGTATAGTAAGTTGAAGGCTATGGCTGGTATAAGGGACTCATTCAAGGAGTGTATGTGTGGTTACGTCTGGAAAGAGATAAGTAGTATTGAAGAGCTTCTGAATGAGGAAGGGATATGAGATGCTAATGAAGAGAACATTAAAAAGTATAAATCTCTATAGAACCAAAGAAATAACCTACTGAAGACAGGAGAAATGATATGGAGACAAAGGAGTGGGGTTGTATGGTTGAAGTATGGTGATAGAAATACGAAGTTCTTTCATGGGAAAATGAATTAGAGAAGTAAAAAAACTATATTAACAAGTTGAGATATGAAAATGGGAGGTGGTGGATAGGAAGGGAAAATTGCGAACGAATCCTAATTCATTACTTTTATGATCTTTTTTCTTCTTCAAGGCCTACTAATATCCAAGATACTTGCAAAGCGGTGATAGGAAAACTTAGTAAGGAGAACAAAGTATGGCGTGAAAGATATTTTTTTGAAAATGAAGTTTAGGAATCCATGTTCCAGTTGCACTCCCTTAAAGCTCCGGGTCTAGAAGACCTACCAGGCTTTTTTTCTTCCAAAAATATTGGCACGTTATGGAGAAGAATGTAAAGAAGTTGGCACTGGAAATTCTGAACAAGGAACAAGATCCACTTGAGATGAACAAAACCTTCATAGTTCTGATCCCAAAGTGTAAAAATCCTAAATCCCGGAGGAGTTTCGTCATATCAGTCTGTGCAACATAGTGATGAAGTTGGTCTCAAAGGTTATGGCAAACATAGTGAAACACATTTTACTATATATCATTGATGTTGAACATAATGTTTTTGTTAAGGGGGTTGATTATAGATAGTGCCCTTATAGCCATGAAGTG